CCTCCTGGGGATCTCGGTCGCTCATCGTTATGAACAAGCCCCCCCCCGCCCCCCCCAGAGGCTTTAGAGTTATTAGAGTCATTACTGTGACCTTTTTTTGCCCCTCAGTCTGCACTGAACATGGTCACAGCGTCTCTTGGAGGGACAAGACACACTTTGCAGTCAGCTGGGTCAAGCTTGTTCATAACGATGAGCGACCGAGATCCCCAGGAGGTGAGCACATGCTGCGTACGTGCTGCACTGATACATATTTATTAACTGGGCTGTGTGGCCTCCACGAGGCGTTAGTGGGGCCTCCTGTATGCCTCCTGTGTTTAGTTTAGTTTGTTTCATGATAAAAATAAGCGAATTCAAACGCTGGTCTATGGCACGAAGCCTGTTTGTTTAAGACGAGATAAGATCCGCCTTCTATTGAGCCCCTGAAGGGGAAACTCAGTTGTTGCAGCTGTACAGAAAGTACAGATAGAGAAGTGGAAAAATAGATAATAAGAGGTAGATACAACCACACAAGAGCACTTTAAGAGCCATATTTATTTATATAGGCTATAAAACTTAAAAACGTGAATATTCCAAAGTAAGTTTTGAGGTTATAAGAAGCGTCTTTCAGTGATATCCTCAGGAACTAAAAGTCGCACTAAGTATCCTCAATCGTACATCTCTAACAATTTCATTATCAACAAAGGTTTGTTTTAATTAAACTTCATTCATATGCTTCCAAAGTATCCTAAAGTAACAGTTGTTAATATATTTCAAAGCTCTCAGGATTTTCCTTCATTTTCTTTTGCAGCTCGGGTCACATTTTTGTAGTTTCGGCCTCCGTTCCTGTCGGTAGTGTCAACATTGAGCTCTGGGAACATGCTGATATTGCAAAAAGATGCTCAGACAGGTTAGACATTACTGAGTCTCCTGACAGTTTGCTGAACTCATGCGTCACAACAACTAAACCACTTCCTGTCACCTCCTAGCTTTATCTTGATATAAAGGAGATACGAGCTGGTGTTGAATGTTCTGCGGCGGATTACAGTCGCTGTGGTTTTGTGAGCTGCTCGCTTCCATCGTTTTTGATGAGGCTCCTTGCATTTTTTATTGTATTGACATGAACATAAATAATTCAGACGTGGTTATCTACGTGGAACACGGAGCGCTGAGCTCTCGGGCATATTTGATGAGGCTTGATGTCAAAGGAGCGCTCGGATAATTAATCGTTTGTTTTAGTTTTATAGATCTATTGACTGCAAACAGGGAAAAAAACCGAAGTGGTGCATCTGAGAAAGTAATGTGAGTAGATGGCAAAAATGAGACTTCGAAGTGGGTTTCAGTTTCGTGGTCACACCAAACTAAGACCAGCGTCTCAAAATCACCAAAAGTTGAATATTTACAGCCGGTTTTTTCCTTATTTCAAGCCAACTACTGTCCACAGCATCACCACCATCTCCTCGTCAGCACAAACCCTCGAGGCTCTTTGTGATTTGGAAAATAATTTTCTCTGCTGTGGTTTTCTTGGTTGCTGGATTCTTCCTCCATCTCGTACCCCTATCTTCCTCTCTCTCTCTCTCTCCACAATGCATCAGCGGTGTCTCTCTCTCTCTGTCGTTGCAGAGGCTCACGGTGAGAAGCACAGCCTGCAGACGGCACAGAACCTCCTGCAGGAGGAGGTGGCTCGTGCCGAGGAGCATTCAGAGGTAAGAGAAACTAAAATCCTCTCTCTTTTTTCTTGTGAGAATCAGACACAGTCTTGCGTCACTTTGGCAGAGCACGGTTGTGGAGGATTCTTGAAAAGCCTGCAGTCAAGCTGACAACCCACCCACTTCTGAGCAATGTGATCTCTAAAGACACGACGCATGTACGTACAGTGAGCTTGTGAGAGCTGCTAAACCCACTCCCACCACGGCAGCCTGCAGGAATCCCTCCACACGCTGCACATGTGTTCTGACAGTCCTGCATTCAGATTCTACAGGTTTGAGGCTTTCTGATGATTTATCTCGGGGACAAGGCGGCATTAGTTCAGGCAAAATGTTCAGGATACACTCTTAAAAAGTAGAGATGCAATGGCGGACTCCACCACTGACAACGTAAACCAGTATATAAAGAGGAAACCGATGAGCTGAAATGCATTTAACGGCTAGAATATATAGAATAAATCCAAACAAGGGTATTTAAACAGCTTAGAAACATCGCTGCAAGTGTAAACATTGTTCAGCTTTGATGCTAAACATTTATCTGGCAGCAGTGATTCACTTTGTGTCTCCCACCGGCTCAGCTGTCAATCAAACACACACAAAGTCCCGCCCACTCAGAGCCTTGGAGGCTAAAGGAGCTTTTCTGATGTTTCTCCTAAGATCTTTTCTTTCATTCAGTATTATAAAAATTCAATCCATTTCAAAAATAACCCTCGATTAATAAGAAAGGATTTTTGTGGTTCCACCTTATGTATGCACACTGTGTGCATTGCACTGTGTAAACACATGAAAGTAGACCTGAGGAAGGTCCTTGTTAGAATAAAACGGTTAACTTTGGTTTGCATTTCATACAAAATACCCTGCAGGTTTACAGTAGTTCTTAACGATCACGATGCATTTACAAGTCTTCCTGTTTCAGTACTGCATGTTGTCTTGGCCTCCATCAGGACCGCGAGGGACTCTGATTCACAGAAGAAGCCCACACTGCTGCTCCGGGCTCTGCACACCTCCCCCACCTCACCCGCCTCCGATCAATACCTCTGTGACTCATTATAGCCGCTGTCCCACTAATTGATTAAGCAACACCCAGCTCATGCCAAGCAGCCCCGCACAGCCTCCGTACATTCGTTAAAGAGACGATCGTATCAGTTCACGTCTGGTCCGTTATCTTATACTTTCGATTTTCTATATAAATACACTTTAAACTATCTAACTGAGGCTCTGTGTTTTAGTCGACCTGATATCTCTCTCGTGTCTCTTCTTCTGTGACTATCTCTTCTGATCTCAGTCGTTTGAGATTCAGCCCTCAGAGGGTCGTTGCTTCAGTGAGAAAAAAACCCGTCTTGGGGTTTTTTTGTGACAAGAAATGCAGCCGTTTCCAATCCGAAACATCTATCAGAATTTACAAAGAAGTAATCACAGCAGTGCCACCGTGACCGTGAAAATCTGGAAGAGCATGTCCTCTTCCCACGGCCTCAAAAAAATAAAATCCCTGACTGTGAAGCCGGTTTCTTCTTCTTCTTCTTCTTCTTCTTCTTCTTCTGTTGCCTAAAGTCAAACAAGCATCCTCGTTAGGAGGATTCCTCGTCAGGTACCAACACGAAAACAGAAATCTGGTGAAGGAAACACAACCTCATCGTGTTGTCCTCGGGGCTCGTATTCAATCAATTCAAATGACCCTCCAACCTTTAAGCAGAGCTACAGCTGAGAGGAACACACACACACACACACACACACAACAAACCGGTTTGTGTTTCAACTCGCCGCTTCGTTCTCTCTGCTGAAGCCGTCGGTTCGATGCCAAAAGGGAACTGATGTTGTCTGAGGACTGCACTGCTGCCAACATGATGTTTTCTCTTATCGTGCACACACGCGCATGTAGAGAGAAAACAACCTTCCGAAAACTGGATATCTGGTTTCATACCACAGAGCGTCCACAGTTTCTGTTCTTTCTTTAATCTGACAAAGAAAACCAGTTTTCTTTGTGTTTCTATTGTGTCAAAGATCAAGTAGCGTCTAATGAAGAGATTGTAAACCGTGAGAAACTGTGGAGGATCAGAAATATAGACAAACTGTAATTAGCTGTTAAGGAGACATTTCTGTCAGTCATAAACTAAACTAAATGCTTCTTCTGTGCAAAATGACCAAGTTTAACGACATTTTAATTTATGAATCAAAACAAAATCTAAAGTACCAAAGACAAACGGACCGATCAATGTGGTATTTGTTCATTTGACACACTCGGCATATTCATTTCTCAATGAATCGCTTTGTCTACAAAATATCATAATATTGTGAATAAATACCAAAAGGCGACGTATCAAAATATTCACTTTGCTGTCAAGTTAAATAAACGCTTAATGTTTGAGAAGAGAATGTTAATCAAACGATTAATCATTTACCAAAATAGTACCGGTAATCGATTAATTTACTAATCATTTTTCTTCTAGTTTGATCTGCTATTTATTCTCCTCCAGATTAATAAACGAGTGTAAATCATCAAAAGCCAGTCGATTCACAGGATTACACTAAATATTTTAATGTTAATCAACGTCAAGACTCAGCTGTGGCTCTGTGCTTTATTAACAATTTATTTGACACACACACATTAGACGTAAAACAGATTATCGTTTACACACACACACACACACACTAAAATTAAATGAGCGTTTGCCTGTAACAGCTGTTGTATGTTGGCAATAAAGGCCAATAACATTCCCTGCAACCTGAGGTTACTTAACAGCCTCCACACCAGATGGAGAAACTCTGTCTCAGTGGGGGAAGACGCAGTGGGAGGAGACTCAATAAACCACAAACTCAACCGATCACACGGCAGGGCTGACCAGTGGACAGCGACAGTGAAGGAGGCTGTGTGAGAATAACACTGAGGCTCTGATTTAGCCTTTTAAACAGTCCTTAAGGTGCTAAATCCTAAATTGCGAGCATGTCTTTGATTGAAGGATTGTCTCCTACGGCTCTCAACATGGCGGCGGCTGAGCCTGCTACGTAAACAAAGTGGAGAGGGAGAGATGGAGAAGAGGAAATAGTGGTTTGTTGCTGTGTCAATGCTCTGAATTTAGATTTTAACAAAAGAAATCTGGTGATAATCTATATTTTTCTCAAATCTCTCCTAATAAACAGTATGGTCTGTGTATCTAAAGCCTCATTTATGCCAAAGAGCTCCATTGTTGTGCAAAAAAACGATTAAAAAAGCGCATGAAAGAGCCGTAACATTGCTCTGCGTGACACGTTGCTTCATTGGCTGTAGTTTATTTTGACTTAATCCCACAAACACCATCCTGCTGCCATAAATGTGTATTAATCCGCTGCTAAAAATAGTCCCCAACATGATTCGCTAAAAAAACACACAGCGGGCAGCTGTTTGAGCCTTTTTTAAAACTAAAAAGAAACTGAATATTAGTGACCTGTTTCATAGGGAGGTCGGACGGTATAAAGAGACGGACTAACACGCCTTTTAATGAGGTTTTTATCCTTTAAGTGTCAGTGCACTTTTCTAGATATCAGTATCTTTAAACTGCACTTTGTATTTGACTTTGTGAACCATATTTCAGTTGGACAGCAGGTCAGTCTGTGCACTCTGCGTCAGTCACAGGAGAAACCAGGTTACACGGGACATGGAGACATTTAGATCGAAACAACGGATCAGTCCATCGACTGAAAAATCAGTAGCAACATCTATTATAATCAATGAATCATTTAGGATGTTTCTTCAGATTAAAGACATAAAAAGAAGAAATTCTACAGGAGAATTCTTCATTATTAAGCCACAAACACAGTTTTATTTGCACAGTGAGACGAGATGATTGAACAGCGTTTCCTCACAGTATCAGTGGGTCTGACTTTTAGAAATAATAAAGCCGGAAACCGTCAAATTTGGAGCTTTGTGTCTGTTTCACCTTTAGTCTGGCTTTGCATGAAATTATCCCAAATCCATCCCTCCACACAGAGACACTTCTTCACCTGAACCAAGTCTTTTTCATACGCGACCATGAAATGTGTTTCTCTAATCCCTTCCCCCGATTATGTAAAACCTCATTTACATGACGGCAGAAAACCAACAGTATCTTTACTGTTTAAGTGCACACAAACACACATAACGCTCAATATCTTCTCTCCAGACTGTGAAATAAAACCTTTATTTTCAGTCCCAAGGCCTTTGAAGCTCATTCAGAATTGGCTTTTAATCATTCTCTGTGGCCGGTGCAGTGATTACTTCACAAATATAACTTCTGTCCTCGTTCAGAAGAAGCTCCTCACATCCTGGGAACACACACAGACGGATCGCGAGGCTTTCAAGCGTCGCCAAAAGTAACTGTTTCATCACATTTAGTCAGCGGTGTAAAATGTACTTACAGTGAAACATTACAGCCGACACACTGTGCCAAAGTTCACGGGTAAATGAGATCCTCTTCATCCTTAGAGGAGTTTGTTTAAACGCCCCCCTCCTCCCTTTGTGTGCTGATGTGAGTTTATTTGTCTGCGCCTTGCTTCACAGGAGCTGTTGGAGAAGTTCATGGAGGGAAACGTGAGCCTGGACGAGTTCCTGGACTCCTTCCAAAGCTCCAGGAAGACGTACCACGTCCGGCGGGCTCAGGCGGAGAAGATGCAGGACGCCGCACGGGCCAAGCGGCCGCCGAGCAAAGCCAAGAAGACAGCGATGACGACGACGGCGGAGGAGAGCAAAGAGGTGAAGAAGGACTCTGAGCAGCCTCAGGAGCCTCAGAGGCCCAACGGCTTCGTAGCCCAGGGACCCCTCAGGGTGTTCCAGGTCCGCTACGGCCTCACGCCCGCCATCCTCCTCCCACATTACCCCGTCTCTCCCCCCGCCTCGGCTCCGAGCCACCAAAGTAGCACCCCGCCGCCCGAGTCCCAGCTGGGTCATCAGACCCACATCCTCGGCACCGGCAACCCGCTGCCGGGACACGGCCACCAGCCGGTCGGCCTCAGGGTCATCGGACAGTTACCGGGCGGCTGGCCGGCTCACGGGCGGCCGGTGAGAGTGCAGCAGCTTTACAGGCCGAACCCTCAACAGCCCGAACCGCCGTACCGATAAGCTCCATGAGGAGGAGGAGGAGGAGGAGGAGGAGGAGGAAGAGCCGGGTTGACAGGTCCTCTGAGACATGGAACCAAACAGTGGCTGTCACAATCACGTAAGCTAAGACTGATCCAGAGACAGGCAGCACCGCAGACATCCGTCTCTGTCCTCCATCCATGACACACACACACACACACACACACACACGTACGTACGTAACCAGAGCAGAGGCGGCGGGTGACTAGGACTCGGAGGAAGGACTAGGGATGGGCTCCGATGGTCATTAATAACGATTCTCTAAATCAAAACCTCCTCATTTACGCGTTTGGGCTTTTTGGGTTAAAATTAAGACATTAACGCTCCGCTTGTGTCCGACCGCCACAGTCTGAATGTGTACTAGCTAATCGAAACGCAGCATTAATGTGCATTAATTAAAGGTATTTCATTTATCAAAACTTCAAGATTTCAAGATGATGCATTTCATCAAAAGAAATGCATCATTTCATCATTTAATACAAACATAATACTGTAAAAGTGGAATTTCGGCCAGGAAACGTATACATACGAGATATGAGGGTTGGTATAGATAATCTCCAATAATCTCTCATGATGGAGATTTAGGAAAGCAAAATAGATTTTCCTTTTTTTCCCCGCAAAGTCGTCTGTCTGTTAAAACTGAGCTCAATATAATGTAAGTTAAAGTTGTTTCAGGTTAACATTCGTAGATCCAAACCTTTATTCTAATGACCATGTTCTCGACGTGTAAAAGGTTCTGCAGGTTCTACTAAAAAGTAAATCATTTTACGTACATTAGAGTTTTTATTCAAGAGAGCAGCTCCTGATTCTCAGCTGGTTGAAATGACTGAAGCTCATAAACATCTAAAATGATCAAACATTTCATAAATATCATGCTGCTCGTCTCATTGTCGGGTCCAGGTTGTGATCATGGATGAGGCTGCCGTTAAAGACGGTCATGTTTCTTTCTCCTCAGCCGACAAAACGTGATTAAAATCGTAATATTTTCACGTTTAATCACTTTTAAAAGTTTAACAGTAAACCTGACATTTGATAAGCGATTTAAAATTATTCCGATTTGAGAATCGGACTCAATACAATGCTATCGAGCCCCATCTCTAGGCAGGATGTGAACGTTTTTATTCTTATTTTTTCATTTTAATTTGTTTTCTTTTA